CCCACACACACACACACATTATTATGGTGAGGATCATTTGTAATTAATTAATTTATAACTGAATATATGTCTGAAGATAGGTATTTCTTGATATAAAATGTTCCACAAAGTCTTTCATACTTAAACTGACTTTAATTCATAGTTTGATGGTTGCTAAGACGTCTCTTTGTTTCTTCAACAATGTCCCCACTGTGCTCTGTCCACAGGCAGAGTCTCTGAATGAGAACTTGAAACTCTTGCTGCCTGGCAACCTTGTTGTATCCACGGCTCAATGCTGAGCTGGCTTAAATTTTTTTTTGATCAAACACAGCAATTTCAACTCTTTACAGTCTACTTTGTCATGGCTGAATGACAGCCACTCTGCTGTAAGAAAGGTAAGTGATTTAAATTGATTTTAGGAATTCTTTCCTTTGAAATGTACTGTTGATAGAAATAGGTCTTGCTCAATTTATTTATTTATTCTTTCTTTTTCTTTCTTTCTTTCTTTCATTTTTGATGTTGTATTATGTCTTTTTATTAAAATAATGTTACATTTCTATCACCTAAATCTAATCTTGCGCCTTTTGCACATGTAATATCCATTTATATAGATTCTTCATTAAGATGAAATGAAGTTTATGAGGTTGCTAATGAAAAGATTATGTAACAATTTTATGCATTGCACATATTACTTAAAAAATGGTGTAGTAACAATTTTCACTCAGAAATTGCTATTAAATTTCTCAAATAAGTACAAAGAATATGCAAGCAACACACTGAATTAAATGTGAAATTTTGAAGTTCTGAAGTTGAAGTTCTTGCAAGTTGTACTCCAGTAATCTTTGTTGTATTTACAACTTGTGTATGATTTGGTCTCAGATTATTGCTCTGAGCATAAAGATGTGGCTGATTCACAATGAATCTTCCTGAGCCTTTGGAAACTCCCATGTCTGTTGACCTCAGAAGAAAGCTGCTCTTTTCTGTGAGTCAGAACTTGATCTCAAGAAGGAGTTGTGGACTCATCCCACCACACCCAGTAGTTCCCATTGATCCATGGAACATAAAAGCCCCCGACTTCACCCCAAAACTGTACAGATCTTCGGGTTTGCCACAGACCAAGAGCAAAAACATTCACCTGGTTAAATCAAACAATAGTGTGGACGGAAAATCTTTCATTTTGGTAAAGATTAACGATGTTACTCCTTCAATATTGCCTGGACTTGAGCAAAAGGGATGTAAAGCACGACCATTTATCACATTCTACAAACCACCAGACACACTAGAGTCAAAACTGCTGTTTGTGAGTGCAGGGATGTATCCAGCGGGGCTGTACAAAGATCCAAAACCTCATAACTTCAGACCTGTAAGTTTCTACTAAGATTATGGCTTACTTTATCTGCATTGCACTACATCAACACTAGATGACAGTCTTTATAAGACATTGAAACACTCCTTATTCAAATGCAGTGTGCCGAGGGAATGCCGGAAATTGTGACTTCTTTAGAAAAGGATTCTGGCTGCTTGATCCTAAAGTCTCAGTGCCTAAAAGCAGGTAAAATTACTTGCATCATGTCTGAAAACAGAGAGAAACAAGAATGGTTTTTCAACATCGGTATAAATTGTGTTGCATGTGATTGCCCTTGTTTTCCCACTGTAATCAATCAATCTAGTAGTACTTATAACTCTAACAGTCATAAAATACTTTATATAGAGCAAAGGTCAGATACCTTGTGGCTTTGAAACCACGCAGTGACCTTACATGTATTACTGATAAAGCTTTGCATTTTATTTCAATGTCTTCACAGTCAATGACAGCCATCCTGACATGAATCCTTCTCACAGAGACACAGTGAGCATAGACACTTTCAAACCAGCAGAGCTTAAATGGGACCCAAGGCTCATACTACCAAAGACGCCATGGCCTCCAAAATCTGCGTCTTATACAGTGAGCACAAAGAGAACACTCATATTTATCTTCTACCCTTGAACAGACAGTTTATTAACCTTCTTGGAAACATTTTACTTCCTGTATTATAGAGACATCGCCGCAGAAGAGGAGTATATAGTGCCTTAATGGAGCGAGTTGAAGAAAAGCTGACCAACTCTTGGAGGAAATGAATCTGTTTTAAGAAAAAAGAAAGAATTTTGTGTTGTGGTGTGCAGATAAAGCTAGTTTAAACATCAATTTTCTGCTTTGTCTAATGAGTCCTGCTGTTTTATGGAGAACCCCACATTATTATACACTTTTCTTGTCTTTTCTTTTTTTCCTTTCTTGTCTTCATTTTTAGCTTCCTTTTCTTCTGATAGATAGATGTTACAAATAGAGAAATATTTTTTTTAATATTGCATACACAAAATAAATGTTAGCACTGCATTAAAAGAAATACATAAATATGCTACTTTTCAAACAAAATGTTAGAATTATTAATTTCATTTTTTAAATAATATACACACACACACACACACACACATATATATATATATATATATATATAATGTCCTCCTGACTACCAGGAAAAAACAGTTTTGTGAATTTAGTTTTTTGTCATGTCATTACATTGTTTAGAGCATAAGAAAATTGTTTAAAAATAACATTTTTGTAAAATGATATTTTATTCATATGTTGTGCCATGTCCTCTGTAGAAGACATCGGGACTTTAAAAAGTCTTGTTTAGAGCATAAGAAAAATTTTGAACAATAAAATTTTTGAAGTTCTGTAAAGGACATCAGGACTTTAAAAAGTCCCGTTTTAAAAAAAATAAAAAGACATGAAAAGGCAAAAAGAGTGGGATTTTTGTTTTAACCAGAAATCAATTTTCATTTTTTTTATACCAAACTTTATATAAAGACGATTCTCAACTATGTTATGAAAGATATACAAAAAAAATAAAAAAAATTTCTTTATGCAAAATGTGTGTAAAATGGCCATAAACGAGTTTTTCCATTATATACAATGTATCTATAAACTGTATCTAATTTGCATATTACGGTGCAGCAATTTTGTAGCTTTCTTATTTTGTATCTCTTTGCATATATTATGGGCGCATGACCTCCGTTGACCAATCATTTTAAAGGTAAACAAATGAGCTGCCGCGTGTGTGTGCGTGCAGACGCGCTGGGTCAATCAGTAGCACGCAGAGCAGAGCGTCAATGGATGACGCTTTCTAACGAAGCATGAAGTCTGAACGGTAAGTTAACTGAACGACTGTGGTAAGAATTTAGTTTGAAACATTTTAACTAACAATAAGGAATATAGGCTCCTCTTTATTTTTTGGTAAAAACAAGTTTTGTCAGCGCGTCATGAATAATTCCTGTTGGCTCAAAGCGCGACTGCGGTTTATGCGATTTAAACGTCCACAGATTTTCTCTAGAGCTGCTGTCACATCGATTAAGTTTATATTTTCAACATATACAGATATAGTTACTGTTTAGGTTGGAGAAATAGGATGTCTACATGGACTTTGGGTTAATTCAGAAAAGTTTCGATTCGACAGGTGGACGCGAGTGACTTCCAGAGAAATGCCCTCCCGGCGTCAGCAGAACTCTCTTATCGGGCTCACTTTTATTGTTAGACCACCCTATTTATCTGTTCCTAGGAAATATTGCATCATTGAGATATGCTTCTTTTCTGAGCATTCATATTAATATAATTTTTATATTCTTTGTGCGCTCCTTCTAGAAATTTGTAGTTGGGGTTAATGCCACATTTCGTTTAATGCCAAACTATGAAATGTGCGCGAGATTGGATTCGTAATATATACTTATATTCTGAGACTTTGCGTTTTTAATGTTTCTGTATCCTCCTAAATGTATTGTAAATATATAGAAATAATATTTATAAATTTTAATGTACACATTTAGGCACTGCTTTTAACTTCCTTTCAGATAGAGTGGGACAGAATAAAAAAAAAGGTTAAAATATGTCTTTTAAATATAACAAAGGTCTTTATTTTGCAAGGAAAAATGGTAAACGTTGGAATTTGGTTACTAATGGAAAGCCATGTCATATGAGCTTAAGGTGGTCAGGCTGGTTTTTGGAACATTGTAGCTGGTTATTTGGGGGTGTAAACTAGTGGTTTTCCAGCTCTAACCAGCTTGATCATGATCTGTTTTGTTAGTCTCAGCCCCACCAGCTGGTAGTCCATTCTTCATCTAGTAGAGCAATGATAAGTCAAACTTAAAAGCTGTAACTATTGTATGATATGGTCTGTGCCATGATAGTTCATAACAGTATGATTAACAATCATAATCTATCAGAGAAATTCTAAAAAATAACTCGCTGTACCACACTTTTAAAAATAAAAGTGCTTCACGATGCCATAGAAGAACCTTTTTGTCTAAATGGTTCCATAAAGAACCTTTAACATCTGAAGAAACTTTCTGTTTCACAAAAGGTTCTTTGTGGCGAAAGAAGGTTCTTTAGATTAGGTAATAAAGGTAATAAAGAGATGGTTCTTTAAAAAACCTTTGACTGAATGGTTCTTTGTGGAAGCAAAAATGGTTATTCTATGGCATCGCTGTGAAGAACCTTTTTAGCACCTTTATTTTTAAGAGTGTAGAAAGTATCATTTTTAGAGCCCGACCGATATGGGTTTTTTGGGGGCCGATACCGATATTAGGAAGTAAAAAAAGACAGATACCGATATATCTGCCGATATTATTTGTGTAGGCTATATTATAGGACAGTATACAGTCAAAAGTTTGGACACACTTCCCATTCGTGTGTCCAAACTTTTGACTAGTACTGTATATAGAATACAGTATATAGCCTACATAAACAGAATAGATATACAAAAACACATTTTTTGCAATGATAACTCAAATGTGGTGTTCAAACACTTATAATGATGTGACAAACATAGGCCTATGTAGTGAAGGCAGGGTATTTAACAATTTAACAATAAACTTCATTATTCAAAATGAGTCTGACATCAGTGCACTTAACAGTAAACTTCACTTCACTTATTATAAATAAGTTAAATGACACAAATAGAACAATATATATATAAATTAAATTAAATTTATGCATTTAGCAGACGCTTTTATCCAAAGCGACTTACAGTGCATTATATATAACTTGAATTAAGAAATCAAACAAGGTAACTGTGTAGGGCAAGCAAGCTACTGCCAAACCAACAGGG